TTTAGACCTGTTCTCCCTTGTCATTTGTGATAGTTGTTGTTGGCCCCCGGTAGTTTCCTCATACAAGAATAAAATAATACTCTGATAAGTATTCCAGGGAAATTTCTGTAGATTTCTACTTTGGTCTCCTTGGATTTTTGACAATTATTTTTTAAGCCTCCCCCCTCCCCATAGGCTGTGTACACTCACCAGAGAGAGACAGAGAAAGATGGTGAGAGGAAAGGTGAGAAATCCCCCTCCAGAGGGGATGACCATGCCGTAATGTCTTCTTCCTCATTCTCCTCCTGGGATTTTGGGCACTCTTACAGATGTGCCAACATAAGTTTCAAGCAGCTGGGTCTGAGACTCAAAGTGCCCTAAGGAGTATAGTGCCCTAACAGCTATGGAACTTGCTGGTCCCTCAGCAATTATTCTTTGTATTTTTTTCTCTTTTCTTTTTGAGAGGTTTTAGCTATAGGACACGTGTGCTCACCAGACAGTCAGAGAGAGACAGAGAGACAGAAAGTGAGAAATCAACCCCCCAGGGGGGATGGTCACACTGCAATCCCTTCTCCTCCATTCTCCTCTCGGGATCTTGGGCACGCATGCACATGCGCCTGGCGTGAGTTTAAGCCACTGGGTCCGGGACTCAAATTGCGGTCAACTATGTGGGATTCCAGTGACATAGCCATTACACTAACTGCTGGCCCCAGCAATTGTTCTTTAACTTAGAGAGTTCACAAGCTATTTCTGGGTTCCCCCTCCCTGTAACTGTGATTCACTTCAAGATTGATCCAAACCAAGATAATACACTAAAAGTCACTTATCAAGACCAATAACCTCTAAAAAAGAAACGATCACGTTTAGATGGAGAGTAGAGATAAATCTGATTTCATGTTTGAATATGTGATTCATTGTAAGGATTGTGGAGTTTTGAGAAAACAAACTTGACATTGGATCCAAGTAATTTGTTTTTGTGGCAACTCAGTTTGAAAGCACAATCTCAAGGGAATATTGTGATGACCTCCCTCTGGCACCTTTCATCTATGATTCTCAATTTGTTGCAATAAATAACTGCTGGTGCAAGGCAGATGCTTCTATCAGGGGTTTGCAACATCTCCCAAGAATCCATTCATCAGTGCTTGTGCTGAGGTAAGTGAGACTGAGAGAACTGTGCTGCTGAACTCACTTGCCAACTGTGCTGGAGGTGCTGGCCCTATGGTAAGGAGCTCATACCCTGTGAGAAGAATAGCTGTTGAATTTATTTTAATTACAATAACAAGTGGAGCACTGCCTTTTTAGACACTGCCTGATTGAAGTGTTCCCTATAAAGGGAATGAAAATTAATGAAACTACAAAGTCCTTACACAAGAAATAATTGGGGAAAAGTGAATATACACACACCTAATTGAAACCCAAGAATATTGTTGGGTAGCTAAAGTTTAACATATGGAGAGTCAAAATAATATATAAGTCAGAAACCAAGGAATTGCTTTGGGTTTGGGAAAAGAGTGAAGAAAAAAGTTCAAAAAGGATTATGGGGTGATTTAAAGTGGGGTGTTCTTAATGAGATCAGTTAAATGTATTTTGGATCTTCTTCAATCATACATGAAATATTTTTCTAACTAGTCTGGATAATCCACCATACAGATAAATAGAAATCCCAATCAAGGATAGCTGAATATTGAGCAAATAACAAAATTAATATTCTCTATTGGATGATATACATCACTTCCTCCACTTTCCAAGATTAGCGGCATCTATTCTTTGCTTCTAAATGAACCAAGTAGGTAGTTTGACTCCCAAAATTTTATACCTCACAGTTTTAAATTGATTCTAAATTTCAATAACCTTTATGTCCTTTCTAAGCATTATCAAGCAAATGTTGGAAGCAGAAATCTCTGAATTATTGACTTATTTCTTTAAAAATTATTATGTGCCTGCTGTGTCCAAACATAGCTGGACTACCTTTCTGAGATAGGTAAAGAGTGCAATCCTAATCTTAAAGACATTTAAAATGAAACTGGATAAGGGAAACTCATTTTTTGAACACTTAGAAGTACTATAAAAACGATACGTGGTCAATGTCAAACATGGGGATAAAGTAGTACATTTGATAGGGATTTAATGATTAGAGAGGAATTTTACATCTTATGATGTAGAATAGACCTAGGGTTATTTTCATGGAATTTTGGTGATAAACTGGCCTTTAGCAAATGAATTTAATTAGTATTTGTGGAGATAAATCTTGACTACTTTTTTAGAATGTGATCAGAAAGTAAACAAAATTTTGATAAGGGAATGAATAAGTCGTATTTAGTAGAATGAAGCAACTAATTCACCAATATTAGAGAGTGACAGAATATTAAATCAGTTAAAACAAAAGATATTCTCACAGAAAAGGTAAATGGATACAAACACAAAAAGAATTTAAAAATTAACAAATGGTCCAGCAGGTGGCATGGTGGTTAAGGCACTGGATCTTACATAGCCAAGTTCATAGTTTGGAGTCCTAGAATCGGCAGCTCGAAAAATACTGGGTGCATGTACTTGAGAGCTCAAAATCCCATGAGGAGAATAAAGGGGAAGGGATTGCAGAGTGGCTAACCCCCCCCCAGGGGGTGTGATTTCTCACTTTCCCTATCATTGTATCTCTGTTTTTCTCTTTGGTAAGCCTAAAGCCCTATGGCAAAAATCTAAAAAGAAAAATAAAAATTGAACAAACAACAATGTGAATTAAATTTACAATTGAGTTTTACACTGTTTGTCACAGTGTTGTCAATGGTGGTATTGATCCTGGTGGTGGTTGCAATAATTGAGTTGGTACTAAACATGGAAAGTAAAAATTAATGTAGAGATTAAATTTGAAGATATTCTGGAGGAAAGTTGAAGCAAAGGGAGAGCTGATTATATGTTTATATATTAATTCATAGTGTATATATTACCCATATATTTGAAAAAAAGTGCATGGTCTATTGTGGTTGGTAAAAGTTTAATGTTTGTGAGAGAGCTCTATTTTAATAAGGTGGGAAACAGTGTGTTGAGTGATGGAGTATGGGTAGTATTTGTGGTATGGTTATGACTTTCTTGTTTTTAATTACAATATGAGTAACTCTGATATTCCACCTGTATGGATTAAAAAAAAGTATATAGAACCTAGGTTGCCAGTAATAGTCTATGTCCCTAAGACATTAGTCTCCTTGTTAGAAAGGGGCTGTGTGTATTGCTTGCAACTCTTCCTCATCTGCAAAAGCACACTTGAAAAACACTGTTCACTAGTTGTACCATGAAAGAATGTACTATAATGCAGTTGAAATTCAGCACCGAAAAAATGCGTGAATGGAACACTGAGGAAATAAAGTGTACATATTAATGGATGGAAATGTATGAATTGTGATCCATCTGATATTTGCTCTTCAAAGACACACTGCTACTTATGAAAAAGTAATTTTGGTTTTTGAAGCTACATGACTTAAAACCATTCTAGAAATTCTATTTTTTCCCCAGAAATTCTAATTTCAGTTGAGAGAAGAGTCTCTTGTTCAAATTCTCCCAACCTCTAGCCATTTTCTGAGAAATTTTTTCATTAATTTCTATTTGTTTTTTTATCTGGTATATTTTTCTTTGGCAATATTTTTAAATAATATGATTTTACAAAACACATTGTGTTTGGATTTCATGCTCTTCTATGTAAGAGTACTTGAGATATATTGCTCCCATTTCTTAATTCACCCTCATATTCGAATGTAGTTATGTCAGTATTTTTAATTTCAGCATGACAAACTGCAATTTTAAGCACAAAAAATTTAAATTGAACTGATAAATATTATCTTCCTGTCTTCTTTGTACTATAAAGACACAAACTAACAACATTTCTTCCAATCACAGTGTTTAGTGTGTTTGTGTGTGTCGTGTGGGTTGATGTTGTGTTTTGTTTTGATTTTTTTATACAAAGTCTCCGTATGTCATGATCCTCCAGCCTTAGGTTCCAAAATAGGTGGGCTGACAAGTGAACCACCACACCCGCCTTTTTAAGGTAGACTACAAATTACACATGGGCCTCCCACACGGCCTCAACCTGGTGAAAGGCAACACTCAGTACTCGCTACTGCAGTTGGGCCAAATTATGCTGTTTATTACATTCACTAAGGTATTTATCGGTTTATAATATGTCAAGTTTCTTTTAAAACATTTTCTTTTTTAAACAATAGCTTATTTAATTTTTATTTATTTATCATTATTATTATTTTCATTTGACCAAAGACAGAGTGAGAAAGAGAGAGAGTAAGAAAGCAAGATGCCAAGTCCAGAACTTGAATCATAGTCAGCCATGTGGGAGTCCAGCACCTTAACCACCAAGCCACCTGCCAACCTGACATTTTAAATGTTTTCAATAAATTATTCATTGACGTTTGATACAATTTTTGCATGAGTAGATTGTCTCATATTTTCATATGTATCTCTCATTAAAAAATAATATTTCATTTAAAAATAAAACATAACAAAACCCAGACATTCATTGTAAGAATGAAGGAAAAAATAACACAAACATTATAAAAAAAAGACTTGTGGTTTACATGGATTCTTTTTTTTTTTTTCTGAGGGGTTTTTGCTATAGGGCACGTGTGCTTTCCAGACAGACAGAGAGAGACATAGACAGAAAGCGAGAAATCACCCCCAAGGGGCGATGTTCACGCCGCGATCCCTTCTCCGCTATTCTCCTCTTGGGATCTTGGGCAAGCACACACACGTGCTTGGCGTAAGTTTTAAGCCACCGGGTCAGGGACGTGAACCATGGTCAACTACGTGGGAGTCCAGCGACATAGCCATTACACTAACTGCTGGTTCCCAAAGGTTTGAAACCTTTCTAAGGATCACTGCTATGATGTAAAAATGGCTAGGATTAATGTTGTCTCAGGGCAGTAATATGCATTATTTCTTCCTGTCTTAACATGTGTATATATTTTTTCCCAATAGGAATATTAGGAAGCTGATCTGGCTGGATTCCAATAAATATACTAATGGGGTTTATGAATAACAGCTGGTTTCAACCTCCCACTCTCATTCTAACAGGCATCCCTGGATTGGAGGCTGTACAAATATGGATGTCTATCCCATTGTGTACCATGTACCTGATTGCCCTTCTGGGGAACTGTACCATCCTCTTTGTTGTCAAAACTTCCTCCAGCCTTCATGAGCCTCAGTATATCTTCTTGTCTATGCTGGCGGCTACAGATGTGGGTCTGTCTTTATCAACTCTGCCTACAGTACTAAATGTCTTTCTCCTGAATCACAGGGATATTGAGTTCCACTCGTGCCTAACGCAAATGTTCTTCATCCACACTTTCTCCTCCATGGAGTCTGCCATCTTGCTAGCCATGGCCTTTGACCGGTTTATAGCTATTCGCAACCCTCTGCACTACACTGTGATTTTAACTCCTCCTCGGATTGTTGGGATGGGGCTAGCAGCTGTGGTTAGGGGAGTGATATTGATGGCACCCTTGCCAATCCTGCTCAAGCGATTGCCCTTCTGCAAGGATGTCATTCTATCACATTGTTACTGCTACCACCCTGATGTTATGAAGCTGGCCTGTGGCCCTGTCAAAGTCAACATCATCTATGGATTGTCCCTTGTACTCTGCTCCTTTGGAGTTGACTCAGTGTTCATTGTAGTCTCATACATCTTGATTTTGAAAACAGTGCTGGGAATTGCTTCAGAAGGTGGTCAGCTCAAAGCACTTAATACTTGTGTTTCTCACATCTTCACTGTCTTCATCTTTTATGTGCCACTCATTGTGCTGGCCCTGATTCATAGGTTTGGTAAATTCGCATCTCCTCTTCTCCATGTCACCATGGCCAATCTCTTCCTCTTCTTGACTCCTGTCCTCAACCCCTTGGTTTATAGCCTGAAAACCAAACAGATAAGGTCTGCAGTACATAAGGTTTTCAAGGTCAGGAGCAACATTTTGAAGTAAGTAAGCATAGCCTTGGTGAAAAAATACCTCCCTAACTCTCCCTAACTCTTTTTGTTGCTCTCCAGAGAAATTGTCACCCCTTCTAAGGTACTATTTTTTAAAAATCGAAACTTTCTTCTTGTTCTCCAAAAAGGTGATGGGACTTTGGCTATTGTCTAAGGAAAAAAATAACAAATGTGTCACTTTGCCACATTTTCAACTGAAATATATATAATCACTGAGGGATATGTGGATCTTCATATTGTTTTCTTTTTTACAGAAATACATGAATATGCAAATTGAAGCTCTTTAAATGTTGAATATTTAATTTTATGACTGTATAAACTGTATACAATTCTTATTCTTGTAAATTTTTTGTAAGTTTTAAATCATTGCCCAGGCAGTTAACAATTACCTTCAGGAAAGTAGCAAAGAAACTAGGATTAGCCAAAATATAGAAAAAAAATTACCTTGTTCTTACAAATTTCAAATTATGTATTTTTCTTCTTTTTTGGAGAGGTTTTTGCTATAGAGCACGTGCACTCACCAGAAAGACAGAGACAGACAGAGAGACAGAAAGCAAGAAATAACCCCCAAGGGGTGATGGCCACACTGCACTCCCTTCTCTTCTATCCTCTTCTCAGGGTCTTGGGCATGCATTCATGCACACACATCTTACGTGAGTTTAAGTCACCAGGTCCGGGACTTGAACCATGGTTGACTACATGGGAGTCCAGTGACATAGCCATTACACCAATTGCTGGTCCCTCAAATTATATTTTAAAAAATCCATCTACTAACACCAGTGAAATAATCTGAAAATTAGCAGAGACCTAGAGGCATCTTTTAGTGTTCATGAGATATTAGAATTTGAAAGTTGGCCATTCTATAAAAGTTGATCTTACCCTTCAAAGTTGATCTATCATTCAATATATTACAGGACAAACAAATTGAACATACACACATACTTAGAAATATCTATATCTATCTGTCTATCTATCACTATATAAACACACATGCACACACACAAACATATACATATATATATTAATTTTAATACAATAGTGACACATACACAATCTGGATGATCCTCAAAAACATTATACTAAGTGAAAGAAACCCAGTTTAAAAGGCTACATATCACATGGTTATTGTTATATGAAATATCCAGAATAGGTAAGTCCTTAAACACATATAAACACATAAGGCTGACTGGTGATTTCTTGAAGCTAGAGGGAAGTAGGAAAGACTATTAACTGTTTAATGGATATGAGGTTATATTTTGAAGTGAAGAATATATCTTTAGACTAGATAAAGTTTATGGTTTGTATGATGCTAAATATAATAAATTCCACTCAATTTTTCCCTTAAAAATGTTAATTTCGCAGTATGTAAATTCAACTCAATAAAAAATAGCAACAACTATTGAAGAAATAAAGACTGAAATCAAAAGATTCATGGAAGCCAATGACAACGAGGACATGAGTTTCCATAATCTTTAGGAACTGCTAAAGCAGTTATAAGAGGGAAGTTCAGGGACCAGCAGTTAGCATAATGGTTATGTCGCTGGACTCCCACGTAGTTGACCACAGTTAGTGTCCCAGACCCGGTGGCTTAAACTCACACTGGGTGCATGTGCGTACGTGCCCAAGATTCTGATATAGAGCACGTGCACTCACCAGAAAGACAGAGACAGACAGAGAGACAGAAAGCAAGAAATAACCCCCAAGGGGTGATGGCCACACTGCACTCCCTTCTCTTCTATCCTCTTCTCAGGGTCTTGGGCATGCATTCATGCACACACATCTTACGTGAGTTTAAGTCACCAGGTCCGGGACTTGAACCATGGTTGACTACATGGGAGTCCAGTGACATAGCCATTACACCAATTGCTGGTCCCTCAAATTATATTTTAAAAAATCCATCTACTAACACCAGTGAAATAATCTGAAAATTAGCAGAGACCTAGAGGCATCTTTTAGTGTTCATGAGATATTAGAATTTGAAAGTTGGCCATTCTATAAAAGTTGATCTTACCCTTCAAAGTTGATCTATCATTCAATATATTACAGGACAAACAAATTGAACATACACACATACTTAGAAATATCTATATCTATCTGTCTATCTATCACTATATAAACACACATGCACACACACAAACATATACATATATATATTAATTTTAATACAATAGTGACACATACACAATCTGGATGATCCTCAAAAACATTATACTAAGTGAAAGAAACCCAGTTTAAAAGGCTACATATCACATGGTTATTGTTATATGAAATATCCAGAATAGGTAAGTCCTTAAACACATATAAACACATAAGGCTGACTGGTGATTTCTTGAAGCTAGAGGGAAGTAGGAAAGACTATTAACTGTTTAATGGATATGAGGTTATATTTTGAAGTGAAGAATATATCTTTAGACTAGATAAAGTTTATGGTTTGTATGATGCTAAATATAATAAATTCCACTCAATTTTTCCCTTAAAAATGTTAATTTCGCAGTATGTAAATTCAACTCAATAAAAAATAGCAACAACTATTGAAGAAATAAAGACTGAAATCAAAAGATTCATGGAAGCCAATGACAACGAGGACATGAGTTTCCATAATCTTTAGGAACTGCTAAAGCAGTTATAAGAGGGAAGTTCAGGGACCAGCAGTTAGCATAATGGTTATGTCGCTGGACTCCCACGTAGTTGACCACAGTTAGTGTCCCAGACCCGGTGGCTTAAACTCACACTGGGTGCATGTGCGTACGTGCCCAAGATTCTGAGAGGAAAGTGGAGGAGAAGGAATTGCGGCGTGGCCATACCCCCTGGGGGGTGATTTCTCACTTTCTGTCTCCGTGTTTCTCTCTGTCTGTCTGGCAAGCACACACGCCCTATAGCAAAAACCTCTCAAAAAAAAAAAAAAAAAAAACCAAATAAAAAAACAAGAGGGAAGTTCATAGCAATTAGTGCACATAAGAGGAAGACAGAAAGAAGGCAAGGGTATCACATAACATGATGCCTCAGAGAATTGGAGAAGCAACAGCAAAAAGATCCAGAAAACTCTAGGAGAAAGAAAATAATAAAGATATGAGCAGAAATAAATGAAATAGAAAATAAACGAACTATACAGAAAATAAATGAAAGTAAAAGCTGGTTCTTTGAAAGGATAAAAAAAAATCGATACACCACTAGCGACACTTATTAAGAAGAAGAGAAAAAGGAACCAGGTGAATCAACTCTGCAATGAAACAGGCAATATAGCAATAGACATAGTAGAAATACAAAACATCATTAGAGGATATTATGAGCATCTATATGCCAAGAAACAAGACAATCTGGATGAAATGGACAAATTCCTGGACACATATAATCTACCAAGATTGAGCCAGGAGGATATAGAAAGTCTGAATAGGCCCATAACAAGCCAGGAGATTGAATCAGTAAAATAACCTGCCAACAAAGAAAATCCCTGGCCTTGATGGCTTCACCTCTGAAGTCTACAGAATGTTCAAAGAAGAGTTAACCCTCATTCTGCTCAAGTTATTTCTAAAGATCTAAAAGGGTGAATTTCTCTCTAATTCATTCTATGAAGCCTCTATCCCATTATCCTTAAAACAGATAAGGACAGGACAAGGAAGAAAAACTATAGACCAATATCTCTGATGAATATAGACACAAAGATTCTCAACAAGATACTAGCAAAATCATATCCAACAACTTATAAAAAAGATCATCATGATCAGGTAGGTCTTATTCCAGGAATGCAAGGTGGGCATCTCACCTTTTAAACTGTGTTAATATAGACAAACTTTGAAATATAACAAACCCAAATTGTTTTACTACCTCATTCCCTCATTTTTGCTTTTGTACGTCACTTTTCTCTCCCAGAACTTAAATACTCTATGATCATGAGGCTACCCAGAGTTGCTTAGAAGTTGGTATGACAAACTCCCCAATTCAAATCATGTGAAGATTTACTCAATTAAAACTCCACTCAGTTAAATTGGCCTTTTTTTTTCTTTTAACACTTCCTATTTTGGAGACTAAAATAAAGCATTAACCTACTCATTATTGTGAAGTATTGTTAGTTATATATTTAGTGTACTGTATAACTCCTACTGCTGGGACCAGCAGTTAGCATAATGGCCATGTCGCTGAACTCTCATGTAGCTGAATGTGGTTCCAGTCCTGGACCCAGTGGCTTAAACTCACGCCAGGTGCATGCATGTAGAGTGCGTGCCCAGGATCCCAAGAGAAGAAGGGAAAAGAAGGAATTGCGGCGTGGCCATCCCCCCTGGGAGGTGATTTCTCACTTTCTATCTCTCTGTCTCTGTCTTTCTGGCAAGCACAAAAATAGCCCTATAGAAAAAAAAAAAAAAAAAAAAAAACTCTCAAAAAACAACAACAAAAGAAATCTATAGCATGTCTATATATGAACAACTGAGATAGAATTGAAAAAAGTTATTCCATTTACCATAGCCACAAAAAGTATAAGGTACTTAGGAATAAATCTAATCAAAGAAGTTATAAATCTCCACAAGGAAAACTACGAGAAGATGAAAAAAGTAATTGAGGGAACCAGCAGTTAGTGTAATGGCTATGTCGCTGGATTCCCCCGTAGTCAACCATGGTTTGCGTCCCAGACCCAGTGGCTTAAAACTCACGCCGGGCGTGTGTGTGTGTGCATGCCCAAGATCCTGAGAGGAGAATGGAGGAGAAGGGATTGCGCTGTGACCATCCCCCCTGGGGGGTGATTTCTCGCTTTCTGTTTCTCTGTCTGTCTCTGTCTGTTTAGCGAGCTCACGTGCCCTATAGTGAAAACCTAAAAACCTCTCTCAAAAAAAAAAAGTCGATATCAGAGATTTAATCAGACCTTTGCATTTAATTTATTAATGTTAATTTCTACATTTTTAAAAGAATTATTTTATTTAACTTATTTTTATCATTATTATTTGTTTAATTTGACCAGAGAGAGGCAGAGAGAGAGAAAGGGAAAGTAAGAAAGCAAGCCTC